GTATAAAACACTTCTGTATATTCTCTGATTTTGTCTTCTCACCATTACAACTATTTAAGAAATCATTACTATCCTTTTCCATATGTGACTTGGCCAAGGTTATTCAGCTAATAAATGCCAGGGCCTGAGACTGGAACCCAAAACCAAGAGTTTTGGTCCAATGCTCTTTCTCTTAAAACACACAGCACATCATTAAGTTCATCACCACCACCATCATCATCTTCACCATCATCATGACCATCATCATTAATCACTACCGTCATAAAGCTGACCAGATAACTAACACATCTATGTCTGGGCTGGAGCTAGACAGAGATCTAGTACAGAATCATTATGAAGTATAAGCAGTTCATCTTGGTTGCCTTCCCACTGTTCAGCTCCCTAATTGCTGCCCCCAAATAGAAAATACCTTTCCTAACTCTTTTCCTTCAACAAACCTCTTGTTTTCACAAACTGCTATTCTCAACTAGATGATAATAGAGAAACAACCTCCTCACATTATTTCACAAGGAGATGGCAGTTGTTTTGTGCTGGGACTGGCTGTTATTGACTTGCAAGGGCTGATTGTTAAATATTGAAAATTTTTCAGGCTTGTTAGGAAATTGGCAAATGCTACAAATCATGGTATATTTTTAGAGAGAGCTGGTTAATCAGTTCACCATTATTATAGTGACCAGTAGACAACATAAGATAATTTGCATTTTTAGATAGGCACTTATTCAGCATGGAGTAGCTTCAAAACAAACATAGAGACCAATGGAACAGAATAGCAAGCACAGAAATAAATCCACACATTCATGGTCAACCGATCTTCAACAAAGGTGCCAACACACAGTGGAAACGAACAGCTCTTAAATAATTTGTGTTAGGAAAACTGGATATCCAAATACAGAAGAATGAAATTGGACCATTATCTCACATCAAATACAAAAGTCAACTCAAAAGGGATTAAAGACAAATGTAAGACCTCAAACTGTAAAACTACTAGAAGAAAACATACAGGGAAATCTCCATGATATTGGTCTGGGCAATGAGTTTTGGGATATGACCCCAAAAGCACAGACAACAAAAGAAAAAATAGACAAATGGGATTTAGATGAAACTGAAAAGCTACACATAGCAAAGGGGTTAACTTACAAAATATATAAGGAACTCAAACAACTCAATAGCAAGAAAACAAATCACCTGATTTGAAAATAGGCAAAGGACCTGAATAGACATTTTCAAAAGAAAACATACAAATGTCCAACATGTACATGAAAAGAATGCTCAACATAACTAATCATTAGGGAAATAAAAATTAAAACTACCATATGATATCACCTCACACCTGTTAGAATGCCTTTTGTAAAAAGATGAAAGATAGCAAAAGTTGGCCGGAATGTGGAGAAAAGGCAACACTTGTACACTGTTGGTGGGAATGTAAATTAGTACAGCCATTATGAAAAACAGTTCAGGAGATCTATTGTACAGAATGGTGACTATAGTTAATAATAATGTACTTTATACTTGAAATTTGCTAAGAGAGTAGATCTTAAATGTTCTCACAATGGAAAATGATAAGTATGTGAGGTAACAGATATATTAATTAGCTTGATTTAAACATTTCATGATCTATACCATAAAAATGTAGAATTTTTGTCAACTATATCTTAATAAAATGAAATAGGTGTTTATTAACTAATAAAATCTCAAGCAATGAATCAGCGAACTGGAGAATTTTCTACAGTATGAAGGCAATATCTGGGTGGAAAAAAGATACTTTCCCAGCACCCCTTAATCACAGCAATGGGTTAAGCTGATTTTGGATAATAATAATAATTACTGTTTATGTAGTGCATACTATATCCTGGGTTTTTTATACACATTTATGTCATTCAGTCCTCATAAAAGCCCTGTGAGATATTATCTCCCTATTACAGATAGAGAAACTGGAACCATGGAAATCAGGTGACTCAACCAAGATTATACAGGCAGAGGGCAAAGCTGGTATTTGAGTTTACCTGGTTAGGGCTCCATTGATTGCATGCTTTCCACCCACTGAATAATCAATATAATGCTGTTATTCACAAAGCCAACAGAATTGTTAAAGCGTTATGTTGCTTGAGAAATCTCCTCAATAGTAAGTTTAAATAGGCACATGTGTTAGATGACTCTGGCATTCTTCTCCATAAAAGCAGAATGGTGATTTAGACCATCCTGTGGTCCCTCCAGGTCTTCTAATGTATGGATCGGACTGCTTAACATTTCTTTGACTGTCTCCTCAAGACTAAAGGCTTTGGGGGCGACTCCTATCTTTTCTATGATTAGAAAAGACTTTTACAGCAATTATCAGGGCTCTTCCCACTTCAAACTGCATCTTCTCCTAACCTTTGAAGCAAAATTCTGCCCAAGAGAAACCCACCACGGATTGTATCAAACTTAAAACACGACAAACTATTTATCTTCAGAAGGTTGTCATAACTGTCCTGACTACATTTGCTAGTTACTGATGCTCTCCAGGTTTACACAGGAGATTTGTCCATCTGTTTTCCTAGTTGGAACATGAAATGAATTTGTGAAGGCAAGGTAGTGACAACAGCCTCACTTCTCCCAGGCAACAGATTATGATGCTACACACCTAATTATTATATTACTGCAGATCTGCTCAGAGGAGGGAGATAGCTGATCCCAGCACAAACTAGCTGAAAGACCAGCAAATGGCAAGATAATAAAATAATAGTGACAGCCAACAGTTACTGAGCACTCACCGCGTCCGGGTACCACTCTAAGCACTCTACTGTATTAACTTTTTATCCTATCAAGTTAATTATTTCCTATATACCTTAAAAGTTATCTATGCACAGACAGCAAAGATAAATTTAACCAGCTTGACTGACTCTAACACCACAAACCATTTTCTCCTGAGCTCGGTTTCCCTGACTCATTGTTTGTTCTTCCTGATTATCCACACAGTTAATGGATTATATGCAAGGGCAGAATCTAAGAGAGAAATATTTTGAATCGATGCAATCTATATCCAGAGTCCATTCTTCCAACTCTTACACTATATTGTAATAATGAGGAAATTGAGAACCAAGGAGGTTGAGTGAATTCACTAAGGTTACAATTGTTAGAAACCACAGAGTCATAGCATCTCAGAATTAATACAAAACTTACAATATTAAACATAGGTATTCAAATATTGCAAGAAAAAATTTCTTGATATTCTAAAAACAAAACAAGCAGCTTGTAGTAAGTCTCTGTGCATTCCATGTCATGCTGAGATCACCAAGAAAATCAAGCAAGTACAACTTGATCCTAATCTTTGAGTTTGATGTGGGGACTAGACATAAACCACATTTATTCTACAGCATTTCACTTATCATTTATGAAAAAAAAAAAGTTACAAAGCCGAAGATTTAAAATGATTACCTTCTGTTACTAACTAGCGTGAAATAGAAAGTAGTAAACGTCAGGAGAAGCATTTAGTCGAACACATACTTGGCCAAACACATCTCACATGCCCCATGTGGGTGCCAACCCTTTTGAAAACCATGTCCCTGTGATTTTGAAATGCATGCCTGAGATTTCCCCTTACCAGAATTCCTCTTCCTCAGCATCAGAAGGGAAGGTTTAGAGTCATCAAAGTGTTTAGTGAAGAGTTGAGGACCTTCCTGTCTTCCCCTCTGGAATAGATACTTGAAAACAAAATCATTTTCTCCTTTCATCATGCTGAAAAATCCTGCCTCCTCTCCTTCTCCACTACCTCAGTAACTCTCCCAGTGGTCTGAAATTTCCTCCTGAAGCAATATCAAGAGTTTAGACATCCAAGTTTGCAAGTGCCCCAGAGTCCAGTTAAATGAACTCAAGGAGTGGGACTCTCTATATAAATTGTTAAATTGAAAGCTCTCAAAATAAGTGCATTAGGGCTGGCCTGCTATCTTGCTGGTTAGAGCATGGTGATGATAACACCAAGGTCTAGGCTTCGATCCTTGTACCAGCCAGCCACCAAAATAATAATAATAGAATTAGAATAACCTGGACATTCACTAAAATGCATCCCCTTCAGAGATTCTAATTTAATGGGTCTGTGATAAGGCCAAGGAAACTAAATTTTAAATAAGTGTTCCAGGTGATTCTGATACAGGGAATTGATTCGAAGGCCCCAAGGAACAAGCTCTATATGACATCACAGGCACCAGAGGGAGGAGTGTCCATCAAAGCGAGGGAAGTATAAAACAGCACAAGGGCATCTGGGACAAGATGGCGGCCTGCAGGCATGGGGCCAAGAAGAGGTGAGTCAAGGTAGCAAGGAGGCATGAAAGGAAGTGTGAAACTGCTGGCATTTGGATGTGGATAATTACCAAAGATTAACTATGTCTACCTGAAAAGTCTTACTTGCTCTGTGTCCAGCTTACAAAATCACAACATAGATATTAAAATCAAGTCTAGATATGACACACTCACATGGTATAGGATATAGAGAAAGATAGTAATAGAAGGAGACTTTGGACTCTAAAAAGTATCTGAAGACAAGACCCCAAGTGATATTTTAAATATCACCAATTTTCTCAAAGTTTCAAATTTAAGACATTTTCTTCAGCCAGAGGAAAATCTCCTTATTTTTCCAAGTCATGAGAAAATAAATATGAAGATGCTCTTTAAATCACGGATGGACCTTGAGAGAATTATATTAAGTGAAACGAGTCAGGCAGAGAAAAAGAAATACCACATGTTCTCACTTATTGGTGGGAGCTAAAAATAAATAAATAAATTCACTCTCACACACAAAAAATAACGGGGGGGGGGGAAGAAGATATAACAACTACAATCCTTTGAAGTTGTTACAACAAGCAAACGGAAAGGACATTGTTGGGTGGGAGTGGGGAGAGGGAGGAGGGAGGGAGGTTTCGGTGATGGGCCATAATAATCAACCACATTGTATATCGACAAAATAAAAATTTAAAGGGAAAAAAAATAAAAATAAAAAAATAAATCACTCCCTTTAAATATCTTACCTTCTATGTTGCCTGATCCCTGATAAAACCAGTACTGTAATTGCAGCTGCGATGATGCAAAATACCACACCAAATACAATAATCCAGATGGGTGCAGAGGGGTCCATGGGCGACGCAAGAGTGGAAGGAATTTTTAGAAATTCCAGAGTCCGGTCATTCAAAGAGAAAGCATTGTTGATCCTGTTCCTGTTCATTCTAAAATTCAATGATAATAAAAAACAAACAAAATAAGACAGGAAAAAAAAAAAAAACACAGAATACAGACCTGTGTTTCCATGATTGTAAATATCTCTATAAACAAAGCATCCTCCTAGCAGGAGACTTGAGGTCGACTAGAATGTTTGTTGAGAGCAATCATGCCACATTCTAGTAAGTTACTCCTAGTAAGTTGAAGTGCTGGTGGCCAGAGAGATGCCATCTATGTACCCGCAACTGTTGTGAATGGCCTAACAGTAACCACAAGTCCTGATCTTTCAGCTCTGCCCACCACGTTTAGTTCCTGAGAGGCAGCATCTAGATTAGAATGACAGAATTACATTTAAAGTGGCTTACATAAATATGGACAGTCTGAAAAAAGACAATTCTGTGTAAGATGTGGGTGATAAACACAAGAAGAAAAGAAATCTGGGAGCAGAAGAGAAAACATGAACAAGGAATGACTTCAAATTCATCAACTCATTTTTTTTTATTAATTCAACAAACATTTGCCAAAAACTTATGAAGTAACAGATATTACAATAGGTGCTTGAGATATAAAATGAAATAAAAATACCAAGGAGCTTACAGTCTAGAAGGATGGCAGGTTAGTACATCCACAACCACAGTGCAGTGCAAACTGTTCTGTGGGAAAGGCAAATATGGACACAGTGGAAGCACAGAGGAGGGCCAAGTGTATGACAGTGAGAAGACAGGGCTGCTTTCCTGCAGAGGCCATTTTGGAGCTGTGTTTTGAGGGACAAGTGAGAGTTCTTTATCCGAAAGTGTGTAGTGACACAGGATTGGAGACATGGGAAAGGAAGACTTGCTCAGTAAACTGCAAGCAGTTCCATGTGACTAAAGGCAATGGTAGTTTAGGAGTCCAAAAGTCTAGCAAAACATGTTACTTTTCCTGAAAAAAAAAAAAAAATCGGCATTTTTGATGGTCGTAGCAGTGAGGGAGGGAGTGGTAGCAAAGACTTATTTAACTGAAGACAAATAAGTTAACTTCTAACTGGAATTTGCAAACTAGGTGAGGAGATTCCTCGAAGATATTTTATGTCCTTTACTGAATTCACATTACACAAGCTGACTTCATCTAAGTCTAGAGAAGCCCTGGAAAATAGAAATATGAGCTTTGTGTGACTTAAAAGTTTCTAGTAGCTCACTAAAAAAAAAAAACTAAGAAGAAACAGGCAAGGGCCGGCCCGGTGGCGCACTGGATAGTGCGCCGCTTGGGAAGTGTGGCGGCGCTCCCGCCCGAGGGTTCGGATCCCACATGCAGACCGGTTCCCGCTCACTGGCTGAGTGAGGCGCGGGAGCAACACCGAGGGTTGCGATCCCGTTGCCGGTCCCTGGTCCGGTACGGGGGCAACACTGAGGGTTGCGATCCGTTGCCG